GTTATAGAATTGATCACGTGACCGACTTCATGTCATACCCCAATGAAACTCTGAAAATTATATCTCATTTCTTTATTGGATTCCTATTTCGTTGGTGTTTGACAGTGAAGGAATTGACGGCTTTTGACATCAGTGCGGGGAGATGAAATTTACATTTAAGGAAGACAGTACAAGATACATTTATGCCAAAAAATATACATATACAGCAGAAATGTTTTGTGGGGTTGTAATTTTGGCCTATTTTAGCGGTTTTGAATTAGTCCGCTTAATATTTTATCGCTAAATATGCACCCTTGTGCACAAGTATTTCATTTTACCGAAAGGAAGTATTTATTTGTTTGTTGTTTATCAATGTATCTTTCATCTGGTTTTTGTTTTCACCAAAGTCCTTGAGTAATTCAGTATCAAACGTAGTTTAATTCTACTATATACCCATTTATAGGATTTTTTTTACAATGACATGGAACTGTGTGTCTTCCAAAAAAATCCCGCCAAAATAATTGGCATACCTTTGAAAAATCAACACGTCAAAATGCGCTCACTAAAGAAACCCGCTATACAGTATGAAAGAACATTTATTGGAAGGGTTCGAGGGTAGGTAACATGTGTTTTGTCGGATCCAGAACCAAACAGGCCGAAGGCAAACAGATTGGTCGAGGGGTCGACGACCTCAACTCCATTCAGTAAATGTATAGTTATATCTTTATTTATGCAGTAAAATACCGGTAAAGTGTACATGAAATAAATATATATCCAATTCTATTTATTAGAGGGTTCATAAAGAAACAATGTGCAAAGATGAAAACGGACGAGAAATGAAAGCTATGCCGATATTAATTCATTGTACCAAATATCTTTAAGGCCATCTTATGGACACTATACGCAGCAGTACTCTAAACAACAAGTTAAAGGTAGAAGGCATTGACTTTGTACTCATTATACCAGCAATTTGGAACGACTCTGCAAAAATGTTCATGATAGAGGCAGCTATAAAAGTAAGACTATATACGCTTTTTTCCCAATTGTAAGCAGTTTCTTTTACCTAATCGAAACTTGTACTTGAAGCATAATTATGCAGATATGAATAGTAATAAAGAATTGACGTAGCTCATTTTTTCAACGGCAGGCTGGATTGCCAGACAAACAATTGCAGATTGCATTAGAACCAGAGGCAGCATCTATCTATTGCCAACTAATGCAATTTGATGCTGTTGAGCAGGACAAAGAACACGGCAGCTTTACACGGGAGTTGGGCATTAAATATATGGTTGTGGATCTTGGAGGCAAGTACTCAAGATTGTACAGATTTTTCCCAGAATTGTGATAAAAGTTAATTCAAACTAAAATTGGTATCATTGACTCCAGTCATATTATAGCTGTCTATGCTATTAACGCTTTTAGAGTTTGTCAGTTTCCTGAAGAGTAATCAGTTTTTTCTTTGCTTTACCAAAAATTGTTGACAAAAGGCTCAATCATTACAAATGCCCCCCAAAAAAATTGTTTAAACATACACAGTGTATACGGACCTGAAGTTTTATTCAATTTCTCAATAATGCTTAATTTTTAGCTCTACTGGTCCTTATGCGATAGTAATGCGTCCGGCGTCCGTCCGTCTGTCTGTCTGTCCGTCTGTAAACAATTTTTCAAAACGCTACTCCTCCTACAATTTTAGTCTGATTTCAATATAACATGGCACACAAGTAGACTACACTAAGATACATAGAATAGTGCATCGGTTTTCAATTTCGATGAACGGTGTTGCCATGGTTACTAAAAATAGAATTTTCTGTAAAATTCCTTTAAAACGCTACTCCATCCACAGTTTTGGTCTGATTTCAATATAACTTTGCACACAAGTAGACTACCCTAAGATACATAGAATAGTGCATCGGTTTTTGATTTTGATGAACAGTGTTGACATGGTTACTAAAATAGAATTTTCTGTGAAATTCCTTAAAAACGCTACTCCTTCCACAGTTTTGGGCTGATTTCAATATAACTTGGCACACAAGTAGACTACCCTAAGATACATAGAATAGTGCATCGGTTTTTGATTTCGATGAACGGTGTTACCATGGTTACTTAAAATAGAATTTTCTGTGAAATTCCTTAAAAACGCTACTCCTTCTTCAGTTCTAGTTTGATTCAAAATAAGTTGGCGCACAAGTAGACTACACAAAGACACATAAAATAGTGTAATGGTTTTTGATAAGTACTTACCAGTAGAGCTACAGTCTCGACAGAGACTTCTGGTTTTTTAGATGAAACTGCTGACATAAATGTGCATCAGCTTAAACAACACGGGACTTTGGCAAAGGTGATACCGGCAAGTGGTGGAGAATGGGACTGGGCTTGTGTTGATAAAGCCAACTTGAACCTGCTGAAAGATATTTTTGGAGAAGAATTGATGGAGACATTCAAATATGACTTGGAGTATACATTAGATTACATACATTTCTGGCAGGATTTTAGGATTAAAAACAGAGGGTTTGTAAAGAACACAATAACTGATATGGGGCATCTAACAATACCTTTAGCTATGACTGAAATAGTGAAAGAGAAAACAAATAGACAAGGAGGACATGATGCTATAATAAATGCGCCCATACAGAAATCAATACATAGAGATGAAAACTTAACCAGTAAACGAGGAAAACTTGTGATGCCAGTTGATTTCTACAAGAAAATATTGTTCACTCAGACGATCGAGAAGTTTATCGTACATTTGTTTTAGATATTCCGAGTGGAATACGGTGTTGATGACATTTTAATGATTAGTGACTTCTCTGAGTGCGGAATAGTTCAAGAAAAATTCACAAAGGAGTTTGCAAATAAGCGTTTTGTGATTCCCTATCAAGCAGGTCTAGCAATTCTGAAGGGGGCAGTCTATTCTGGTCACCACAAGGATCTGGTTTCGCGTCGAGTCGCTTCCTATACATATGGAATTCAAGTTATGCCAACGAAACAAGACATTCTCTTGATAAAAAACATAAAATAAATGGCGAAGACAGATGTCGGGATGTACTTTTTAAAATTATTTCCAATGGTGACCGCATTGAAGCCGGTTTATTGAAATCTTACTTTTTTAACACTCTCAAACAAGGCGAAAAAATACTGAACTATGGAGTCTTCATCTCCAACGAGAAGAATCCAGAATACGTGGACAAAGAAGGCTGTTTCAATCTAGGGACTCTTGAAATGCCTTTAACAAATTCAGATATTAGAGCAAATGTTGAGATTGAGCAGCCATTTATTTTCGGGGAGACAGATATCTCAGAGTCAAAGCGTGCAATTATGCTACTGGCAATGACATGAAAATCGTTTTCGATTACTTTTTGCCCTAAAAATTAAAATCCCAAGTAGTAAAAGGTAATACGGAAGAAAAATTCTATGAACATTCTTTAATGCTGGAACCTTTCATTATCAACCAGGGAGAGAGAGATTTTTATTTTTTGTCAAGTTCAATAAAGATTATGTTACCACTTTTTTCATCATCTGTAAAGAAGATTGGCGTGTGATTTGCAGTAATTATTTGTACAAAACATTCATGATTTAAGGTCATACGCAACGTAGTTTGATCTTTTTTGGGTTCTCCCCTGGAGTTGAAGAGTTCCACTAAATGAAGGACCTGTGTGCAGTATTTTTAATGTCTTTAAATGGAATTGTTCACCTCTTCTAACACAATTTTTTAAGGAAAAAAAATCTGAAATTTATGTTTTATAATTTTTGTACATTTTTATTTGAATAATGCAAACATTTTCAAAATTCGATATCTTTTCAAAACCTCTTGTAAGGCATGCTGATTTTTGTCTATAAACATGTAATTATATTATAAGTTTAAATTTGGAATATCTTGGAAATCTATCAGTAGGTAAGGTACGTTGCATATGTCCTTAAATGTCCATTTTTGGTTGGCTGACCTTAGCTGGATAGATTTTACAAACAAGGCCATTGGATTTTTTTTATTTAGTTTAAATTACATTGTCAAATATAACATTTATGACCGTTTTTCTTAGGAGGTACAGTAACAGTAATACTTCCCAAAAACAAACAAAAGACACCTATTAGATTAAATGCATAGATGATAAGTGCAGGTGTTCATCAACATTTATAGAAGAATACAAGGTTCGAATTAATTTTGTTCTCAGTGCATGCAACTGAACCAAAATTTAATATATAATGCAACATTTCTATAAATCAGTTATTAAAATGAAACTGATAAAAAAAATCGTTTGCATTAACAATAAACCTGCACAAAAAACATTTACCAAGTCACTTATACGGAAAAAGTAAATCAGATCCAGCATCTGAAGCAAACCTTGTACATGTAGTATGCATCCTTAGATGTATCACCAATGCTTGGCTTACGTTTGCCTAACATACGGCGTAATTTGAAATACATGTATGCTTGAGATACATCTTTATTATTGATTTTTTTTACTTCATAAATACATAGTAAAAGGGCTTGCCATACTGCTCATTAATGTTTCCTTTCGTCTACCCCTAGAACGTATGTCTACTTTTTCCAAAAACATTTATTTCTATTTTCATTATATACAGATATTATCCAAAATTAATATGCTAATATTTTTATGAATACTAATTAGTAAATGATATAAATAATGATTGCTATGCACAGTGGAAATTCAAAGTTAAAAAATGTTTGCATGCTCTAAAAGAATGACATTTTTAAAAGTCAGTTGGCTTCAACAATGAAATTTGTTGATACAAAATATTTACAGTTTGTCTTTTTCATGGTAAACACTACATCGAACATATTCACAGGATTTTGCAAATTCCTAGACCTCTACGCTGCGCACCTGTAAGTAGATAGCATAAAACTGAAGTCACCAAAACATTTAAAAATAGATAATTTTTTCAGATGTATGAAAAGTGATATTTATTGTCACCTTTCTTCTCGAACTCCATGGCTGTTTTTATTTCTTTCACATCTGTCATCATCGAATGCATACCAGCGCTTAAGGAATGCATGTTTGACTCTATTGAATGCATTTTTCTCTAGGGATTTCTTTGTCATGCTTACATTCAACTTTGATTTGATCTATAATTGCCTCTCGTTTATTTTCTTCTAAGGAAAGATTCTTTATGTAACTAAGATCATTCAAGTAGCTTTTTCCTGTATAGCTTACAAGTCGCGTGCAGATATCGGAGATGATTGACCAGCAATCATCAAACACTGGTTGTGAGGTTGAAGCTGAGTTAACGTGACCAAACACATTGTTTCGTATCAGTCTGATCCTTTCCACGTCATCGCCCTCAGTTATCTCCCCTGGTGCAGGTAAGGCCTTCAAACCCCAACCTCTTGTAGGCTTAGTGATTGTTGAAAAATTTCTGATCAAGGTGTACAAAAGTGTTATATCAAATTTCTCATAACCAGAATTTGTGGCATCTTGCAAAAGATTTTGTTGCTCACCATTGAGATCTTTATATCTCTTTGATGCATTCACCTTGACAAAAATTTTAGAAGAGGGTATATTATTTTGCAAAATGTCTCTAAGGGTCTGTGTCAATACATCATTAATCGCCATTCCAACTTTGGCAAATCTAGTACGGTCAAGATTTAATCCAGAAGATCCTGATGTCTTGCTATTAGCACATTCCTCTGTCTCCTGAAATGAATAAGTAATTCGTTTCAAGAAAAAATATATTTATTTCGTTTTTAACAGTATTCGCCTCATATACGCAGTAGGATTGATCAGTACAATTTGCATATGAAGAAAAGAAGAAACCGATTGGCCTAACGGCCTTAAGGGTTACCTGTGAATACTGGTATTACCTTGCAAACTCTAATTACCAATATGATGAATAAAGTTGTACAATGCATGTATTGGTATGCATATCTTAAATTCTGTTTCATATGAAACATTCTTGGTCCATATAAGATTGATTGATTGTATGTTTTACGTCCTTTTTGAGAATGTTTCACTCATAAAGAGACCTAACCATATACCGGTGAAAGGCTATGAATTTTTACCTTTACTCGACACCAAGGGCAATTGAACAGTGAGGGATTTTATCGTGCCATCGTCTGCAGTCACACGGGCTTCTCGGATTTTAAGGTTTCATTCGAAGGATCTACAAATTTCACTTCAAAGTGCGCAGCGCATGGCGAAGGAACAGTTCCTAACTACTATTTATTTGAACGACATAAGACTGGCCAATATTCGAACCCACGACCTTCCAAATACGGAGCGAGCGAACTAACGTCTGAGCTACCATGACGGTCCCGGAAGAAAAAATTTAAAATGAACAATGCATTTTACTCTATGATCAATAGAGCCCCAACACTTACACCACAAGAACCCCTACCTACGAAATTCACAATATTGGAAGTGGCAACCTTGTTTATTAATAATATGCATTTTATTTTGGTTTGTACCACGGAGAAGAAAAGACCATCTTAAAGAAAAATGAGGCATTTCCAGTTTTCTACTTTATAATCTGTATACCAGAACCCCTGATGTTTGAACCACAAATTTTAAAATCTTGGATGAGGCACTTTGCTCATCATTGCCAACCATCAATTTGACCTGTTAAACATACAGGGGGAAAGAAGATGGAAGAATTTATGCACTTTTACTATGTAGAGCCTTACCAAAACTCAAGAACCTTGACCCTGGACCTGGACCCAGTAATGTTAAAATTTTGGACAGAGTGCCAATTATTACAATTTGGCTAACAATTTGACTGCATATTTGTAGGAGAAAAATGACGTTTTTTTTTCAAGAAGGCATTATTTGATGGTTTCAGCCCCATAACTCAAGCCGTAAGGGTATGAATAAAGTTCATTGTATTTGTGCCCCTTTGCCCAATGATGATATATAATAAATTGTTTGAAACTGGTTCTGTGATTTAAGAGAAGAAGCTGAAAATAATCAAACGACGAACAACGATGGTCAAAACACATATCAATAGGTCGCATTTTTTATATAAAAAGTAACTATGTAATTTATTAGCAAAAGGGAACATTACTTTAGGTGCTTACTGAAACTTTTGGTTTTGAAAACCAAAAATGAAAAGACAAACATTTGTGTATCCAAGACAATCTGCTGAAAAGTAAACTATGTTAAAAGATGTTCAATGGACTAGATTTAGTCAGTGAAATACAAATCACTTTGTTTAAATACACTACCCGGTATATGTTGTTTAGTAGATCCATTTAATACTACTTTTGACTACATTTTTCTCAACAAATTCAGAGGGCTGCAAAATTATTGTCAATTAACAGGAAATGCATTCTCTTTCCAGTCACCAAGTCCTATCTGTGATGTTTGCATGAACCCGTGATTTCATCCTGTTCTCAATTGAAATCCTCTTCATAAATATGACCTTGATCCCCGTTAGTTATCTTCACTCATTTTACTTAAATCATATCATTGTATTTGACATTTCTTGGATATTTTGAAGCATTGCAAATAGCATTAAATTGCTCTATTTAAATAAGATTTTAAATGAGAGACGTTAATTGATCCCTAAATTAAGCTTTTACTTGTATAGAGTTAACAAAAATCATAGAACTTACATCATTCATTCAACTGAATGGTGAGTGAAAATTCTACATAGGTCATTAAATGGGAGAGATCTGTCATTCATTGACCTTTGGTGAGGCTTTTTGTCACCTCATTTAACTGAATAGGGTAGTTTTATCCTATGTACAACATGTATATACATACCTCTTCCCAGAACATTAAAGTTTCATGAACGTCTATTTCGTGTTTATCCACTATTGGGCAATTGCATTGAATTTCTTTAGCTTCAGACAATTTCTTTTCGGGGATGAATGACATATCCTCTTCACTGCAGAAAACATTCAAACATTTATAACCTTTCTGAAAGGTTTTCTCTTCCTCAAATGTCTTTGTCAATTGTGTTAAGGCATTTTCAATGGACCTTCCAATTTCACAGGAAACCTTTAGTTGCAACTTATTGATTCTAATGACCTGTATCTGGATGTCATTATCAAAAATACCAACAATAACAGTGTGATTTTTTGTTGTTTCAAAGATTGCTGCTGTGTGATACAGACAAGGACTTTTGTCTTCATCAAGCTGTGCAATCCACTTAAGGGAACTCATGCAGTATGCAATCAGTCTGTAATACACGAACATAGCAAAGGATGTAAACCGAAAGCACAAAATGGAAGAGTACCTCCATTTCCTTTTAAATATGTGGCGTGTAAAACTCTTATTATTCATGCAGGGGACATACCACGAGGTTTTGTCAGCGCCATCAACTATGCTTACTAACATTAGTAACCTCTCCATATATAGCATAAGTTCTGTCTTGTGATCTAAATACGATTGATCAACTGTCCAGAGAGCTTCGACAAGTTCATCTTCCAGTTTTCCAGTTTTGTTGAAACATTCCCATTTTTTAATGTATTTTGTATTGCAGTCTTGGCTGATGTGCTTCCTGTCTGCAATAAGTTTACTGAATGCATTGGAAAACCACTGCATTCCGAAAATTGCATATTTTCTCAGTCCTTCGTCTTTAAAAAACAGTAATAATCCATGTTCATGGAAAAATGACAGAAAATCGAAAATTTCCTCCTGATTTTTTAACTGATAGTTATTTGGAAGTGTTTTATTCACTTTGTTTATTTCTTCAAGTGACATGATTGGTTTCTCTGTCTTTCGCAAGAGATGCTCAAGAAGGGCCCATGCTGATGGAACTTTAACTCAGCTTTTGGACTTTGCGATACCACCTCAGCAATTGTTTGTTTTAAACACTTCAGTGTTTTTGCTTCATCTTCTTTCATCTCTATAAGTCCTAATGAAAATCCACGGGGATTAATGCATTTTCCAACCCAGTCACAATCTTTTTCCGTTATTAATCTCCAAAAAGTTTGCCAAAAGAGGCCTTTTTCCTAAATAAAAATTTTAACAATTATAATCCGAATCATATTTTTTTAAATCTGAAAAATCACACATATACCGGTAGTCAGGAAAATATATTTCAAAGAAGAGCTGGAATACTTTTTTGTTATTTTCATATTTCATCCAAGATCTTATACTAATATATCCATAATGTAAACTCTCTCGTTATTCCTTTGGTTATTGAAAATATATAGCTCAATGCAACAGATTATTTCACCATTCTCCTATGTATGTGTTTTTAAGCAAATGTATACATGTAAAAAGCACCAATATTTCATAAGTTATTCGAAATGATTTAATATTGGCAAATTGTAGACAATTTAAAAGAAACACAGCTAGAATACCGAAAATCCGCGATGATCTATTTTTCGCATTTTTTGCGTCCATTTTTAATTCGCAAAAAATAAAACAAGCAGATGTGACATAAAAACATTATTATTTTAATCAAAAAATCTTCTTTTGTAAAAAAATAACTTAAGCAAAATAAGAACTGAACTAATCCCCCCCCTTTTCGCAAAAATTACAACAAGCGAAAAAAAAAACCGATATACGGTAAATGTTTTGAAATTGGACTGATAATTTTTTTTTATTTCTTTTATTGAACTAAAATTTATTCAATTCGATTAAACCAAACTTTTTAGGTTTTTCAGTATTTAAAAGAATATCCAATAACCAACAAACAGGTATTGTCACCACGTGAGCATATTCAGTACAGTATTGTAATTTTGTAGTACAGTCTAAGAACTCATCAAAAAATCATTCATAAAATTTTTAACATACCTCTTCTCCTTTGTACTCTGCATGTGAAGCCACAGCAAGTATTTGTGGAGTTTTCCCACCGAATGATTTTATGGATTCAAGCCAGAAGTAAACATAATCTAATAACAAAGTAAATTACTTAAAATCATTTTACATGTAAAAGATAATTGAAGTAAATGTTAAAAGGTCTCTGGTGGTTCTGTTCCACCTGAAAACAAGAGGCCCAGGGGCCACAGCGCTCACCTGAGCACATCAGCTAGGAAAAAACATATCAGATCAGAACTGAAAGTTAATTTAGGTTGGGGGCAGGGGGTTGAATTTTAACCCAGAAGGGGATGATAATTTGATGATTCCATACAAATATTACTAATCCTGGCTTTGAAGTATTTGAAAAGAAGATTTAAAAAGGTTTCCATATATATTTCTATGTAAAACTTTGTTGGCCATTTTGGCCATACCCTTACCCCGGGGTCATGACTTGAACAAACCTGAATCTACACTTCCTGAGGATGATTCCACATGAGTTTCATCTTTCCTGGCCCAGTGGTTCTTGAGAAGAAGATTTTAAAGATTTTTCCTATATATATCTATGTAAAACTTTGATCGGCCATTTTGGCCCCACCCTACCCCCGGGGGTCATGACTTGAACAAACCTGAATCTACACTTCCTGAGGATGATTCCACATGAGTTTCATCTTTCCTGGCCCAGTGGTTCTTGAGAAGAAGATTTTTAAAGATTTTTCCTATATATATCTATGTAAAACTTTGATCGGCTATTTTGGCGCCGCCCTACCCCTGGGGGTCATGACTTGAACAAACTTGAATCTACACTACCTGAGGATGATTCTACATGAGTTCCATCTTTCCAGGCCCAGTATTTCTTGAAAAGAAGATTTTTAAAGATTTTTCCTAAATGTTCCTATGTAAAACTTTAATTGGCCATTTTGGCCCTGCCCTACCCCGGGGGTCATGACTT